GCTCATTTCTGCCATCAGGGGTATGGTGTTTTGCCTACGTTTATTGTCACATTTGATAGTTTGTCGCCATGAAATGGTCTAACAGTCTGAAGTATACGCTATCATCCTCAACTGAACTATCTCTTGTTGCGACATTTGCGGTCCTTTCGTTTAACGGTGCTATTTCCGGCTGCTTGCCAGGAACTCATCTCACGATGGTTGAGCTGGCTCCAGGCCTCTGAGTACGGGAGACAGAGAGAGAGAGAGAGAGAGAGAAGTAATACAGGGCCTTAACAGGTAGAATAGGTACAGGTAACTATTCAGACCCCTACATTAGTCTACCCCTATAATTTCTCAACCCTAGACCCGAACCCCTTAACATCTCTGAGGCAGGAGCTCAATTCAAAGTTTGCTTACATGAGCCCGAAGCCCTGCCCATGGAGTTGTCTAGGGTTTCGGGTTTAGGGTGTAGGATTTAGGGTTTAGGGTTTAGTGTGTAGGATTTAGGATTTAGGTTTTGGGGTTTGGGGTTTAGGATCTAGGTTTCAGGGATCAGGGTTTTAGGTTTAGGGATTAGGGTTCCGGGTTTACGGATTAGGGTCCCGGGTTTAGGGAGTAGGGTTGAGGGCCCCATTCTCGACACATCGGCACACGCCGACTCGAGGCCCAAACCCACACGATGCCCTGCGTGGTCCGTTTCGATATCATGGCGCATCGACTGGGCCCGGGCAAGGCTGGTCCATGGGGTGCTTTGGGGTTTGAGGGTTTAGGAGTTTAGGGGCTTAAGGGTTTAGGAGCTCGATGGCCGTAGGGTTTGTATCGGAGTGGAGGCATGTTTTTTTTCAAGGTTTTCCGTGGCCTTTTTGATTGAAAGGTTTGGGATTCAGGAGCTTTGGGTTCAGGGGCCTGTCACCAAGGCGACAGCCTCTCACCCCGCAACCGAAGACCCTCATCCCTCTGCTTTGGAGAAAGGGGCGTATTTCAACTTTAAAAGAAAAGCCCCTAAACCTGAGCCCTAAACCCAAAACTCCAACAGGTCCCTGATTCTGAGAGATCTGACTTCGACGCTTGGGGTTGGTCGGGTAAATCCAAGAGCCCGAGGATGATCCAAGCCTAGCCCAAGGTATCATATCAAAATAAGTAGTTATAGTCATAATAACGTCATAGTAACTCTAATTTCATAGGTGACAACAACTAAGATATAGTCATAATGACTATCATGTTATAGTTATTGATTCTGTTCAACCCCAAACCCGAAAGCCTAACCCCAAGCCGCTGGGGGGGATGAGGCGGCCGTGATGACCGGAGAGCTGACCGAGCTTGGCGGCTGCTTCTTGGGTTGGCCTGAGGGCCCGCAGGCAGGGGCTTTCGGCTGTAGGGTTTTAGGGTTTAGGGTTCAGGGTTTAGGGTCTTAGGGTTTCAGGGTTTGGGGTTTAATGTCGGGTATAATGAACACATACTTGCACAACGCCATGCGCATTTAGGGGACATACATCTCGATGTTCGATTTCAACCAACTTGCCCCCATCGGCGTGTCTGTCCACGGATAGTTCCGCAGATGAGCAGACCAAGAGGTCAACTCTATAATATCGGGGCCTAAATAATTACCTAGACTATGTTGGGGTTCCCTATATAGTATAATGGGCCCCAAAATCCTATTCTAATTATTAAGGCCCGTACATTCTGTTCATGAAGGGTTAAGTATACCCCAGCAGCAGGCATGCAGATGCGAGAGACTGATAGCTCAGCCGTGTATAGGTATCTGCTGTCAGTACCCTTTACAGAAAAGTGTTGCCCCCTTTCTGAGGCACCTTGTCCGACACGGCTTAAAACCCTCCCAATATTTCCGCCATCTGTTGGCAGAAAGCATTGAGCGAGCCGGGGCACTGCCCAACATTCACGAAAACAAATCGTGAGTGTTAATCAGAGAGGGAGGCGGATGGATAGCTAGATACATCGATAGGCGAATCAACAACAGCAGTCGTGGAACGCATTGACACCCGATGGATTGGGCATGTATACTTCTAACAGATGCATGCACGCAGCAAAGCGCATCTGTGTATACACATACCCATACTCTGCACAAAGAGAGAGGATGCAAGCGGATGGCTAGGTGTGTGCGTGTGTGCGTGAAGTACCAGTCTAAACAGGAAGTGATGCATATGCACATGCTGTCAGTGCAGGGAAGTAGCTCAGGCACGTTGTCTTGGATGTTACCATGTTGGATGCATTGCAAAATTCGGAGCTTTCTGGTACCACACTCGCACACCCCCCCCCAAAGGGTTAAGCCCTGTGCAGGTCGTCTTTAACGCGATGCTCCGCGCGTGCTTCCGGGAAACTGTGGCGGTCCACTGAGCTCCTGCAGGTGTGGAGAAGTAAGAGCAGCACTCAGAATAAATTAGGGTTTAGGGCGCTTAGGGTGAAGTTTCGGAGAGCAGCAATCAGGATGGATCAAGCTGGTGAAGCGCAAAGCAGCGTTGCAAAAGAGGCTCCAATGATCTTGCCGAGTCTCAAGTCTCAAGCATCGAGCGATCCATGCACTCCTGCCTCCCACAACTGCTGGAATGTTATCATATGGGTAGTTCTCTAAAATAGGGTCCCTTCCAGGGTCCTTTTTATAAGGGTTCCGTACTATATTGGGGACCTGAAAAGGGACCCTAATTTAGAAAACTACCTATATGCTGTTCATAACCTTACCGCCAAGAGGTAGTAGTTGTGCTTTCCACTGTTGCTAGTTCCATACGAGCCACCTCGAACAGTTTTGCTGGGTTCCACCTACGTTCCGCTTATGTGCCGCTGCTACTGCCAGTCTTGTCGGTTGTGTTAGACAGTTGTCCGCACCCCCTGAGCGGGTCGTAACACTCACCAGCATTATCCCTTATAGGGTTCGGCACTGTGATTACCCATAGGCCCCATAGTAGTTCTTTTTGGGGATTCCCTAATAGGATTCTAAATATGAACCCCCAGAAGGAACTACTTTAGGGCCTATGGCTATACACTATGAGAACGCGTGCTTGATGCTGTCCCGACGACGCTTCGGTCGACGATCGAGACCTGGGAAGATGCTGAGGTTGCAGTGCACAAAACCTTAAGGGTCCACATATACTACTATTATGGAATTAGGTCCCCAAAACCATAATAAGAATGGTCTTTTGGGACCTAATTCCATAATGGTAGTATATGTGGACCCTCTGGGAAACGGCTCATGAGTGTCAAGCAGATCTAAGCCCTCGGCTTGGCTTTGCTGCCACGTGGAGATAGATCCCTTGCATGGTAATGCTAGATGTACACGGTCCCAGGGTTTTCGTGCAAAACCAGCTGCTGATTGTGTGGCAGATCCAGGCAGCAAGGGTACTGAGAAGCCTGGATTTGCTGCATGCTCTTCAGCTGATCCTGCTTGCACAGGACTGCTGTCACCGCCTCATCTAGGCTCAGCTGAAGAACCTGCACAGCGATGGATGTGCTGCTGCTGCTGCTGCTGCCACTGTTGCTGCCGCTGCAACTGGCCTTTCTAGCGCACTGCGCCTGCTGCTGCTGCTGCTGCTGCTGCTGCCGCTGCTGCTGATTCT